AAAACATTGGCCTATATAGGCAGTAAAGGAGGAGAAAAGGCTAAGACAGTCCTCCTTACACCTTGGACTCTTTTTTTCCTTTCTCTCAAGTAATATAGGGCTATTCTTTGGGTACGATTTTCATGTCTGTCTGGAACATAAATGTCAAATTGAGTTTGGAAGCATAGAGAAATCAAGCTAACAAAACGCCTAAGTGACATAGTACAATTCAGTGCAACATTTCCACATTGTAGCTTCTGCCCTAAAATTAACCTTAAGCTTTGCACAGAGTAGAAAATACATGTAAATTTTATAAATGCATTTTTAAAAATCTCTATATGAGTATATCATATTGTTCTATTAAGAAAACCAAGGAATACCCTAGAAAAGGAGTATCCTTTTAGTACCCACCCCAGAAAAAAAGGTAATGGAGATGAGGAAGAACTTGAGTGAAAGGCTTACTGATTTCATGCATCTGATTTTGACTCATACGAGTCTCCTTGGAACATATGACATCTTTAAAAATTACTTAGTCCACATTATCTTCATCATTACAATCACTTACATTTTATATATGTTTTCACTGTTACCAAGAGGAAATTACTGGTCATGAAGGTAAACCCTTCAGAGAAATGTAACGATTTTACATCTCTAATGTTGGAAGTACTTAAAATTTAGTTGAGATAACTTACTGTATACAAAAGCAAAGCGATACAAATACTCTTCTAAGAGTAACTATAGTAAAGACTGTAGGTTTGAAATAAGGATATGGGACTAAGAACATGAACCCTCTCTGTAGATCCACAGGATTTAAATTCTGGCTCTACCAGTCATCATCTGTGTGACTCTGGGCAAGTTACTTAAGTTCTATAAGCCCCAACCAGCGTGGTAATACAATTATTAAAATCTCTTTTAAATTGTACCTTCCCGATGTGGTTGTTAAGAGGTGTTAGCATGTCTAATACCTAATAACTTCTCAATAAATGTTCATGATTGATAATTAAGTGTAATGGCATTTCTCTGGGCAGTCTTAGAGAATGTGTTCTAACTTGAGCTTTGTGTAGAAATTAAAGTCACTGATTGATAAAGCAGTGATGGATATTGATAGTGAAAGAATGTAGAAAAGGGCTGAAATTTTAAAGATGTACATGAGAAATAGAGAATGGTCTAGCCAGAGCAGAGCACAATTCAAGGGAAGAATGTGATGTAAACACATCCGTAGTTTATTCTTGTGGCATTTCCATATTCTCCATGACTTCTCTAAATAAGTTATATGTATTCTGTGTTCTTGTCTGTAAAATCATCGCTATCTTGAAATGTAATTCATTGAATAGAACACTCTAAAGTTGCTGGATACTATGTTGCACTTGTTGAAGTCAGAATAAAAATATACAGATGAATCTTTAACATTTTATTTGGGAAGCAAGACTGCAATTTGAGATACACAGACAAAGTGGTCTTTGTTATGTCTGAAGAACAAGGAGGAGGTTGGGAGTTTTATTAGAAAGAGAAATCTTACGTATTGTTTTAAAAGAAAGCTCACTGGCACTAGAGAATTTCTTGGGAGCTGGCAAGATCTGATTGGTGAATGATGGCGGTAGGTGAAACCAGTTTTAGAGTCATGGCAAGTCATATGCAGCAGCTGCTACATAAAACCGGTCTTAGGGTTGCAGCAGGCCGTTTCAGCACCAGGGGCTGTGGAAATGTTTTATTTTATTTATTTTATTTTTATTTTTTGAGACGGCGTCTCGCTCTGTCGCCCAGGCTGGAGTGCAGTGGCCGGATCTCAGCTCACTGCAAACACCGCCTCCCGGGTTTACGCCATTCTCCTGCCTCAGCCTCCTGAGTAGCTGGGACTTCAGCCTCCTGAGTAGCTGGGACTACAGGTGCCCACCACCTCGCCCGGCTAGTTTTTTTTTTTTTTTTTTTTTTTTTTTTTTTTTTTTTTTTTGTATTTTTTTAGTAGAGACGGAGTTTCACCGTGTTAGCCAGGATGGTCTCGATCTCCTGACCTCGTGATCCGCCTGTCTCGCTAATGCTTGGATCAGTTGCCCTGTGCCGTGAGTGCTTCCCCCCCGGCCCCTCAACCCTAATTTAGTTGGCTACAGCAAGAATGACCCAATTTGTATAATCAACTTTCACACACCTTTCTCACTTAATGGACCTTTAATGGCTGCTATCTTTCTTCTGTCCTTTTCAGTTTGAAAATCATTCTCCTAGCTAGAGAAGACTAAAGTAAGATAGGAGTTGAGTTTCTCTCGCTTTTTTTTTTTTTAATCTATTATTATTAGTTTTTTTTTTCCCCAAACACGTTTGTTCTTGCCTTGTTTCTCTTCCTCTAGAAATAGATTTTAAAAGACCCTCCATGATATTTTTCATAGGCCGTGAGCATTCTGGATTATAGTCATCACACCAGCATTCACACAGGCTCGGGTAACTTTCTCATTGACCTTGACTCCCTGCTCCTTCCATTTCAGTCCTTCCCATTTTAAAAGCTCTTTTTGTTGTCATATTGGGAAATTATTAGCATTTTGAGACCAAATGCAGATGCTCAAAGGGGATGGACTACATAACTCTGAAAATTTGTACCTAAGGATCCAGGAAATGGTGTCATTACTAAGGGTGTTGGAGGTGGAAAATGGCATTGGTTTGGAGGAGAAACAGTTTCAGCTTCAGAAGGATAATTGGAGGTGACCTGTCAGGCAGTTGGAAGGTAGAACTAAAGAAAAAGGTGAGAAACCATAACTTGGTAAGATTTAGCAGTCATGTGATCTTGATTATTTAACCACAAACATAGATAAGATACTGGGGGCGCAAAGCTGAGAAACGCAAAGAGTGACCACTGGGAGATAACTATGGTGAAAAAAGTCAGGAGGGAGCTGCAGAGCTAATGAAAACAGATCCTTCAGAAAAGGAGGAGTGTGTCTCACACATTAGGTCAAGACCAGCAAACCAAAAGTAGTTCTAAGAGCATTTTGTAATTAAACTTGACGTCACTGATGTGTCAACTCTCTGTGGCATTCACGTTGACATCCCCCCAGGCCACATCTGTAAATCCAGAGTAGTATCAACTATAGACATAAGTGTAGGAATGAGCACATTTCTTCTCTCCTCTGCTTGGGTTCCTTAGTTTGTGACTGTGTAGCACAGAGTCAGCCACAATGGAGAGTTCAAAACTGAACTCCAAGCAGCTCCAACATAGTATCCAGCTGAATTTCCTAAGATTCTCTGTATCCCTAAAGGTCTGGAAAGGTAAGACAATGTGGTATAGAACAGGAGTGCCACACCAGCAAGTGGCAGGCTAGAGGAAGTCTTAACTCTGCCTCCGGTTAAAGTGTAACCTGAACAAATCACTTAATCCCTTTCTTTGGGTGAATCTCATTCTTAAAATGAAGAAACTAGATTTGTAAGGGCCTTTCACTCCAAAATAATCATATTATTGTAATACTAAGACTTACCCTCTGCCTCTGTTTTGTTTTGTTTTGTTTTAAGGGTAGCACACTATTTGGGGGAGTTTAAAAAGTCATCGTAGCCGGACGCGGTGGCTCACGCCTGTAATCACAGCACTTTGGGAGGCTGAGGCAGGCGGATCACGAGGTCAGGAGATCGAGACCATCCTGGCTGACACGGTGAAACCCCGTCTCTACTAAAAATACAAAAAATTAGCCAGACGAGGTGGCAGGCGCCTGTAGTCCCAGCTACTCAGGAGGCTAAGGCAGGAGAATGGAGTGAACCCAGGAGGCGGAGCTTGCAATAAGCCGAGATCCAGATCGCACCACTGCACTCCAGCCTGGGAGACAGAGCGAGACTCCCTCTCAAAAAAAAAAAAGTTGTCATCTTCCTTTGCTTTAGAAAAGGGTCCTGCCGGTGGGGGCCCTGGGTTAGGGAGTTTTAGGGGTAGGGAGTGAATCTTGCCCAAAATTTTAGTATTTACCTTTTAAAATCAGGCTGCCTCATTTCTGAATAAACTGAATGTATTGTCTAACTTAGAAAATTGGTTAGGAAATTTTTATTTTTTATAACCTCTACAGAATTATATTTTAAGAAGCTTTGAGATTTCGGTAGGTAAGGTGCTAGATATCAGCATTTAACCAGCAAATTCTGATTCTGCCACCTAATAGATGTCAACTCAACTTTGTAAATTCCAAGAAAAAAGAAAATTTAGTGCCACTAATAATGGAGTAGCTTAAATCACTGATTCAAATGATATTGCAACTCTGGCATCCAGGCTTCTAATGGGAAAGATGTCTTTCATAGGGTTTTCAGCAGTGCTTTTATGTGGCAGACATTAAATGAAAGGAAGATGATGGTAACTGAATTTATGCTTTCATATACTTAATTAAACTGAAGCTAGGCAATCAGTATAACCAGAATCTAAACATCTAATTCTTGCAGATGAAGCCATTGGGCAACCAGTTAGTATCCAGAGGAAAGAAATGTTGGTCTTTTATTGGTTTTAGATTAGTAAATATAGTAGTGGCCACTTGCTTCTCTAGAAGAGTCTTGGTTAGGAGGTGCAGGAAAAGATTAAGGTTTTAAAAACATCTCTACCAAATTAGAAAAGTAATAGTACAAGGACATAGGCCTTCAGGCTTTCATATGAGACACCAGATTTCAAAGAAAAGAAAGATGTAATTGAGATCTGACTAGGGTATTCTACAAATTTTTTATTTGATCCAGTTTTCTAAGACATGTTAGAAGAAAAACTAACATGGCACATATTTTCCCTCTGTTCCCCCAAATGAAGATAACAACTAACCAGGCTGATTATCGCACTAAAATCCTACCATCTTTTATACCTCCTTGCTGCTTACATCGTTGCATGTAAATTCCTCTTTTCTGTTGGGCTGAGCATGAGCATGAATTTTATGTAGCAAGACTGAAATATTCTCCACAACAAACTTTTGTTCATGCTTTTAGATGTAACATTTTTGCGCAGGGCTCTGTTGCATTTTTTACAGAATCCATTTTCCAATTAATAAATAACATTATATTAAGAGAGTCTTCTTTTTACCAATTAGGTCAAAGTCCTAAAATTTTAAGACTCAAACCCCATGGTTTAGAGCGAACTGATTCACAAACCATAGGTGACTTTGCTACAAGAAGAAAGGGTATGTACTTTAGCACCGCATGTGGTATGGGGCATTGGGAATTTATTTTGTAATGTTCTTTTTTTTTTTCTAAAAGAAGAACCTTAAATACTATTGCTGTTGTAGATAGAACTTTCCAGCACATTATTTCTAAAATGAATGCTTCCCATGTATGCCATTAACAACAGCATGTTAAATATTTGATAATATATGATATTCAGACTTCTCCTTTTGCATTATTCTTTTAACTTTTTAGACAACATTTTATCCTTTAAATTTGTGAACTGTTTGTGATTTTCTGTTGTCTTCTGTCTTTATGTATATGTATTCTGTTCTGACACAGAAGAATCATTTCCATGGATTAATTGTGCCATTATTTAAAATCTAACAGCTAAACTGCTATTAGCCTTTGGGTGTCAAAAAGTAAAACATTAACAGTTAAAGAAATACTTTCAGTCAGCGGAATATTCTGTATCTGTCTATTTTAAGAATATAGACAAGCAAAGTGGTTTTAGCTAAAATTTAATAAGTTAATTTGGTCTTCATTATATATGAGTTGACAAAATACTTATGAGCCTCAATGTGTATGGTCCTTTAAAATGACTATCCATTTTATAGTGTAATGGTAATTATGCCATAATTGATTAAAATTGAATATACATGGGCAAAGACTATAAATAAATCTGGAAAGATGAAATTTTTTGTTAAGAGTGGCAGAATGAAACATAACTGAAATATTTACCTAATATGTTTAGGTAGTCTCCTAAAATATCTAGTATTAAATAGTATTGTTTTAGTTCTTTTGCTCACTCCATAAATTTCTGAAAAAATCTCAGTTTTGACTTTAAAAAAATGGCTAAGAACTCTGGTATATACTGGTTTAATTGTCTACTGCAATGTGAGGTAAATAAAGATCACTTATAAATGAAAATTATTATTAGCATTTACTTAATTGTATATAATTTAGGAAGAGATTTGTTGGTTAAATTACACTAACAATTTGAAGTAAAATAATTGTGGCCTTTTTTCAGAGTAGAGTTTGGATCTAAAGATATAAATATTGTTTCGTTTTGTTTGTTTCCAGACTGGACATGAATTATTTTAAAAGATTTGAACATTTTTTTGGTTTGGGGTTTTAACAAAGTTTTGTTTTTAATAGTTTCTATGCATCATTTTATATATATAGTTATATACTTCAGTATTGAAGAATAGGAATGATTTTACATAGATGATTAAATTTCCTTATTGAGTATGAAATTGGTGAAATAATTTATCAAATAATGAAACGTATAAAGCAACCATAGAGAAACTGGGTCACATTACTCTTTCTTCATCTCATTTAGTCTATATTCATAAAACATGTACTTAGGCAACATGTTGTAATAGAGGTTTAGGCTTTGAGGTAACAATCGTGAAACATTTGATTTAGCTTTTACCACTAATTACTTAGCTATGTAACCTTGGGCAAATCATGTAACATTCATGAACCTCATTTCATATGTGAAACTAGGTGGTCTTAGGTTTGCTCTATTCAATATAGAGTTACAGAGGGAGAATACTTGTTTGTTTTCCAAAGTTCTGTACACTAAAAATCTCTTTTTCTCTCTTTTTTTTTTTTTTTTCCAGTCAAGCCAGCACCTTTAAAAATAAAACCTTTGCCAGAATGGGAAGAATTACAAGCCCCAGTATTCTCCCATCCACTAGGAGTTTTTGCTCGAGAGTAAGTCCTTTGTCTAAAATATGTAGTTTGTATGAATAATATGACTATCTAGAATTGTTTCATTATCCTGGAAATATCTAGAATAGTGGTTCTCAAATGGATGATTGAGAGCCCCCCTTTTATAGGGGTTCTGTGAAGTCAAAACCATTTTCATTAATATATTAAGATGTTATCTTGCTGTATTAATTCTCCTACTGAGTGTAACGTGGGAGTTTCCCAGAGGTTACATGAATAAGGCATGATATCATTGTGACACCCAATAGAATGTGTGTATTGTGTGTACTACTTGTGTTTTAAAAATAGTCTATTCCCATTTCTTAATACGGCAAATGATAGTAACAACTCATGTAAACAAAAATTTCTTTGGGATTCTCATAATTTTAAGAGTGTAAAAGGTTTAATGAAACCAAACATTTCTAAGATTACTAATCTTTGAAAATGTGTGCGTCTCTTGTGGAGATTATGTAACCGAGACTTATTGCACTTTTTTTTTTTTTTTTGAGACAGAGTCTCGCTCTGTCGCCAGGCTGGAGTGGCAGTGGCAGGACTCAGCTCACTGCAAGCTCCGCTCCCGGGTTTACGCCATTCTCCTGCCTCAGCTCCCGAGAGCTGGGGACTTACGCGCAACCCGCCACCTCCCGCCCCCAACCAGGTTTTTTGGTATTTTAGATAGAGATAGGGGTTTCCACCCGTGTTACCCAGGATGGTCTCGATCTCCTGACCTCGTGATCCGCCTGTCTCGGCCTCCCAAAGTGCTGGGATTACAGGCTTGAGCCACCGCTCCTGGCCACCAAGACTTATTTAAATGTATATAGGAAAATGAGAGGAATTTATGAAGTTACAAACCTACGTTGAACATATGTTCATGTTTTACGTGTGTGTGTATATATATTATATATTATGTATATTATATTATATATTATGTATTATATTATATATTATATATAGTTTTTTTAAAAATAGAAATTCTTGTCTTCCGTTTTATATCTGTAACTTTCTACTTATCACCAAGTCACTGGTAGTGGGTTTTTTTTGGGGGGGGGGGGCTTGTTTTACACAAAATATTTTGCTGTCCAAAATGCACTTTTATAAAACAGTTATAAATATTAGTTATGTGTTTGTGCACAAAAATTATGTCATTATAAATTTGTACAATGAATGATTGTAAACATAAGGGAATATTTCTGAAAGAATGCAGACTATCATTTTTATTTGGGGAATAATTTTAGGTATTATTGTCAAGGCTTATGTTTGTGATAACGTTTCTGTAATTAGCTCTTCTAGGTTTCCCATGTCCCCCCGACCGGATTCAGTGCATAGCACAACTTCAAGCAGTGACTCACATGACAGTGAAGAGAATTATGTTGCCATGAACCCAAACCTGTCCAGTGAAGACCCAGTATGTAAAGTTTTAACCTCTCCTTTTCTGAGCAGCCCTTTTCAGTCATTCAAGCTAGAACTGTTCTGTCTATAAATTTTATCCTCATATCTTTATATACTTAAGAAAAAGCAATAAAAGACAACTTTTTAAAAGCTTATTAAAAATAATGTCATAAACTCTAAAAACAATAAAAGGTGAAAGTAAACTGTAAATGAGTTTAAAAAAAAAAAGTTGCCTGGCACAGCAGCACAACCCTGTAGTTTCAGCTGTTTGGGAGGCTGAGGTGGGAGGATCACTTGAGTCCTTGAGTCCAGCGGTTTGAGGCTAGCCTGGGCAACATGTCACCCCATGTCTAATAGAAAAAAAATAAAGTTTTCAGTTATATCTCATATAAGAGATACTTGATTTTTGATACTCTTCAAGAAAATACACTGGCAGCATTTTATAATACAGTTCTCTAAGGCCGTGTCACAGCACTCTAATGGTGAAATGGTCTTATAAATAAGTAATATACCCTTAGATAGGTGTAAAGATTAAAGAAGACCTCTTATAAACATAACATGTTTCAGGTTGAAACATGTTATAACATGTTTAGTTGGCTATACTATCATAAAGCATGAGAATTTTCTAATGGTAGTGAGCATTTTGTTCCTCAGAAATCAGGTAGTTGCCAGAAAATACTTCAGATGTTTAAGAATACAAACCAATTTTAGTTTTAAAAAATATTTGGCTTTAGCTTTTCCTTAAGTCAGATTTAATGTTTGCTTTGTTATTTGTATTTTAGTAGATAAGTATATCTGTTAGGATTAAATTTCCCTCTGAATAAAAGAGAATAAATATTCGTGACTCAAGAGAGAATTTTCTTTCTTTCTCATGGAAAAGTCTGGAGAGAATCAATCCAAGGCTGTTGTGGCAGCTCTGTTCCATAGAGTCTTCAGGGATTCAGACCTTTTCCAGCTCTCCGGTCTGCTTTCCTTCGGTGTGGCACATATGCTCATTGGACAAGATGACGCTCCAGCCAACAGAGCCACATGCCAACTCCAGGTGGAGGAAAGGGAGAAAAAGAAGGGTACAGCCCAACTGCCTCATAAGGACAGTTCCTCGAAACTGCTGTCTGCAAACCATTAACCAGAACTTAGCCTGTGTGGCCACACTGAGACACAAAGGAGCTAGAAAACATGGCCTTAGATCCGAGGAACAGTGAGCCCACCTGAAAATCCCATGCATATGGGAGCAGGGAGAGCAGGTATTGAGGGACAGTCAGGCCATATCTACCAGGATAAGCAAATACCTAATGTCAAAATTTGGAACGAGTAACATTTTAGTGGCCCTATATTATTTAAAATAGCCCTATTTAGAGGTATAAAATAGCCCAATTCTATGAATGAATTGGTTTTTCATCCTTTATAGACTTTAGGCAGAACCAGGTTTCTTACAACTATATGTTGTCAGGAAACATAATTAAGTGATATGAACAACTTGATTTTGTGCTTAAATTACTTAACTTTAAAATATTACCAAATCTTAGCCAGGCACAGTGGCATGCGCCTGTAGTCCCAGCTACCCAGGAGACTAAAGCAAGAGGATCTGTTGAGCCTAGGAGTTCACACCTAGCCTGGGCAACATAGTGAGACCTCACCTATAAAAATTTTTTAAATATCAAATTTAGAAAGTATTCAAAAATATCCTTGAGGAATCGCCATACTGTTTTCCATAACTAGTTCAAACTAGTTGAACTAGTTTACAATCCCACCAACAGTGTAAAAGTGTTCCTATTTCTCTACATCCTCTCCAGCACCTGTTGTTTCCTGACTTTTTAATGATCGCCATTCTAACTGGTGTGAGATGGTATCTCATTGTGGTTTTGATTTGCATTTCTGTGATGGCCAGTGATGATGAGCATTTTTTCATGTGTCTGTTGGCTGTATGAATGACTTCTTTTGAGCAGTGTCTGTTCATATCCTTTGCCCACTTTTTGATGAGGTTGTTTGTTTTTTTCTTGTAAATTTGTTTGAGTTCTTTATAGGTTCTGGATATTAGCCCTTTGTCAGATGAGTAGATTGCAAAAATTTTCTCCCATTCTGTAGGTTGCCTGTTCACTCTGATGGTAGTTTCTTTTGCTGTGCAGAAGCTCTTTAGTTTAATTAGATCCCATTTGTCAATTTTGACTTTTGTTGCCGTTGCTTTTGGTGTTTTAGACATGAAGTCCTTGCCCATGCCTGTGTCCTGAATGGTACTACCTAGGTTTTCTTCTAGGGTTTTTATGGTATTAGGTCTAACATTTAAGTCTCTAATCCATCTTGAATTAATTTTCGTATAAGGAGTAAGGAAAGGATCCAGTTTCAGCTTTCTACTTATGGCTAGCCAATTTTCCCAGCACCGTTTATTAAATAGGGAATCCTTTCCCCATTTCTTGTTTTTCTGAGGTTTGTCAAAGATCAGATGGCTGTAGATGTGTGGTATTATTTCTGAGGACTCTGTTCTGTTCCATTGGTCTATATCTCTGTTTTGGTCCCAGTACCATGCTGTTTTGGTCAAGGATCTAGAACTAGAAGTACCATATGACCCAGCCATCCCATTACTGGGTATATACCCAAAGGATTATAAATCATGCTGCTATAAAGACACATGCACACGTATGTTTATTGCGGCACTATTCACAATAGCAAAGACTTGGAATCAACCCAAATGTCCATCAGTGACAGACTGGATTAAGAAAATGTGGCACATATACACCATGGAATACTATGCAGCCATAAAAAAGGATGAGTTTGTGTCCTTTGTAGGGACACGGATACAGCTGGAAACCATCATTCTCAGCAAACTATCACAAGAACAGAAAACCAAACACCGCATGTTCTCACTCATAGGTGGGAACTGAACAATGAGATCACTCGGACTCGGGAAGGGGAACATCATACACCGGGGCCTATCATGGGGAGGGGGCGGGGGAGGGGGGAAGGATTGCATTAGGAGTTATACCTGATGTAAATGACGAGTTGATGGGTGCTGACGAGTTGATGGGTGCAGCACGCCAACATGGCACAAGTATACATATGTAACAAACCTGCACGTTATGCACATGTACCCTAGAACTTAAAGTATAATAATAAAAAAAAAGAAAAGAAAAAAGTATTCGAAAATAATATAATCAATATATCAATAATATTTTCACTGATTTTTCAAGGCAGGGTAATTTTTATTGACTTTTGCTTTTGTATTCACTACTTTTCAATTTATTATTATTTAAGTTAATTAGTTTTCCTCAGTAAAGTAAGTTGACTCTAATAAAACCCTAGATCCTAAATTCTCGGTCGGAGTAGATATTGTCACCTATTTCCAACTTTGGGTAGTTAAGTGAACTGTTTTTTTATTGTAAAGTAGTTAGAGTATTTTCGGAGGTACTAAAGACTGTGTCTTTTTGCCCAAAATAGTTAATAGCCATAAAAATTTTGGAAAGGCCCATATAATAGGAAAGTTTAAAAATGTGATTTGTCATAGGTAAGTATTAGATGAAGGGAAAAGATGAAAAAGAAGAGTATTACAATCAGAAATCAAAGGAAATCAAAATACAATTTTTTTTTTTTTTTTTGAGATGGAGTCTCGCTCTGTCGCCCAGGCTGGAGTGCAGTGGCCAGATCTCAGCTCACTGCAAGCTCCACCTCTTCGGTTTACGCCATTCTCCTGCCTCAGCCTCCCGAGTAGCTGGGACTACAGGCGCCCGCCACCTCGCCCGGCTAGATTTTCGTATTTTTTAGTAGAGATGGGGTTTCACCGGGTTAGCCAGAATGGTCTCGATCTCCTGACCTCATGATCCGCCCGTCTCGGCCTCCCAAAGTGCTGGGATTACAGGCTTGAGCCACCGCGCCCGGCCTTTTTTTTTCTTTTTTTTTTTTTTACACCTAATGCCATTAAGCCACAAAGGTACTTTTACTTGTCACCAGTAGAGGTGTCTAAATAAACACAATGTGGTGAATTTTTTTTTTTTTTTGGAGACACATTCTCGTTCTGTCACCTAGGCTGGAATGCGGTGGCGTGATCTCAGCTCTCTGCAGCCTCCACCTCCTGGGTTTTAAACAATTCTCCTGACTCAGCCTCCTGAGTAGCTGGGATGACAGGTTTGCGCCACCACTCCCGACTAATTTTTGTGTTTTTGATAGAGATAGGGTTTCATCATGTTGCCCAGGATGGTCTCAAACTCCTGACCTCAAATGATCTGCCTGCCTTGGCTTCCCAAAGTGCTGGGATTACAGGCGTGAGCCACTGCACCTGGCCTGTGATGAATTTCTGAAGTACTTAGGTCCTATGTATTAAAAAAAGCACAAATGACCCAGGAGGACATACCTATCTACCAAGTACAACAGAAAAGTCAACAGTGCCAATTCCATCTCCTCATGCTGCCAAATGCAAGGACTCATCATAGTCCATTCAACTGTCCCTTAGAAAAGAATATGAGAATTATAGCAAATATTTAACAAACTTCTTTAATTTTGGATCAAAACTCATGCATTATCAAGTGAATTCTGAATGTGACACCTGAAATTCAAATGATGGTAAACCATAACTAAAGGCAGACATATTGTTATGTGATAATAACAACAAAAATATGTTAAATGATTTTACATAATTTTTTAAAACTCTAGGCCGGGTGTGGTGGCTCACACCTGTAATCCCAGCACTTTAGGAGGCCAAAGCGGATCACCTGAGGTCAGTAGTGTGAGACCAGCCTGGCCAACATGGTGAAACCCCGTCTCTACTAAAAATACAAAAATTAGCCAGGTGTGGTGGCAGACGCCTGTAATCCCAGTTAGGAGGCTGAGGCAGGAGAATTGCTTGAGCCCACGAGGCAGAGATTGCAGTGAGCCAAGATCAAGCCACTTCCCTCCAGCCCAGGCGACAAAGCAAGAGTCCACCTCAAAAAAAAAAAAAAAAAAAACTAGCACTACTGCTTTGTTATTTAATTCAAAGAACACTTATAATACCTTGTAGAATCTTAGAGTTTCTCTAAACTGTTTTGGGAAAATACTGGGTGAAAGGCTAGAATACAGACAGGCTGTTCCCACTGGAGATTAAATCAAGAGCAAATAGACTTCCTTGTAGACACACAAATGTTAACAATACTTAAAGATGGAAAAATGTTCAGTTCTAGTAATAGCAGACATAAAATAGGTTAACTAGCCACCCTGAGAAATTCTGTTTAGGAGCAGCTTACTGGTATAATGCATGCAGGTCTTTTGAATGTATACATTTCTTTTATAGCCTTGTAATACTGTGAACACTTCTAGATATTTCTAATCAGAGAAATGGAGGTTATGGGTCTTTCACTGATCACATTTGAATATGGAATTTTCCACACACTCATGGCTGATTTTATGTGACAATGATACATAGAGTCATTCAGGTAAAAAGTTTCATGATGATTTCAGTTTCTCCATGAATTAGAAAAAAGGGAGGGATTACTATTTATATTGAGGACCAAAACTTGCTTACATTTTTTGTGTTCTACATGTTATTTTTGATTTTTTGTTTTTTTCAGACAGAGTTTCCCTATTGCCCAGGCTGGAGTGCAGTGGCGTGATCTTGGCTCACTGCAACCTCCACCTCCTGGGTTCAAGTGATTAGCCTGTCTCAACCTCCCAAGTAGCTGGGATTACAGGCGCCCACCACCACACCTGGCTAATTTTTGTCGTTTTTAGTAAAGATGGGGTTTCACCACGTTGGCCAGGCTGGTCTCGAACTCCTGACCTCAGGTGGTCCGCCCGCCTCAGCCTCCCAAAGTGCTGGGATTACAGGCCTGAGCCACCGCGCCTAGCCGTTTTCTGTATTTTTTAAATGTTTTATTTGCAGTAATTGATAAATTTGATTTAAAAAATCTGTTTCTTCAAATAGGAACATTACATTTAGTTGTGCAGGTTGTTTACTGCATAAACATACTGCATACCTGATTATATGAAATTCAGGCTATGTGCTGCTCACCACACTGCACTCGCCCACAGCACAGAGCCGTGTCACCCCAGTGCAAGCACCACCTTTTAATAATTTGCAAAAAGGTTCCATACCAGCTATTAGCAGCCTTGCTACGAAATGAGGGAATAGTGTCAATATTTCCCTAGAAGTGTCTTTTCCCTAAGGCACAGTTTTTTCTGTTTAACCTAAGCAAAAAGAAATGAAGTAGCAACATAAAAAGAATCAACAGAACCACCAGATGTATGCAGTTTTCAAATTGTTTTATTCATCATAATACGCACAAATTTTTAACTTTGTTAAATCATTATGGTTTTCTTCAAAAGTATGAGATAATACATAAGCATTAATATCAACAGTGCACAAGGATGAAAATCCCTAATGAGAAATACAGTCTTGCATATGAGAAGCCAAGAACATTTCTAGATTGGGTTAAAAGGAGTAAGGCATGGAAACAAGTCACTTGTTTGAGCACATGTATAATAGAACCCTGCTGTAATTAGAGTGGAGGGAATATATAGGGACTTAGGTTCATGCCAGCTTTTTCTTTCTATTTAGCATTGATCTTTCATTTTTCTGCCTCAAGTTTTTTGTTCCTGTTGTTTATTGCTGTCATCTATCTTCCCACCTTCTTTACCTTTTTTTTAGAGGGTAGTCCTACTGTACAAATCATCTGAAATGGTTATTTACAAATTCCAGAGTTGTCTTCACTCTACTCTCTTTAAAATCTTAGCACTATTTTTGTCCAAAATTTTAATTCTTTTTAAACCCACGTTAGTATTATTAGTGCTCTTATTATATAAACTATGCTTATTTACGTTTTTCTGCATGTTTAGCGGCTTCTTTATCACTTCTTCTTGTATCTCAGGCCTTCCTTAGGTAATAATTTTCCTTCTCTCTTAAATACGTTCTTTAAAATGTATGCCTTTCAGGAAGGAAAAGATCAGGCTAAGGAAATTAAGTGGTAAAAAATCCAGATGATTGAAACAAAATAGACTTAGCCAATGGAGTCAAACAAATTTTAGTGTGAAAGCCTTTAAATAAAATGTAGAAAGTTTTTTAAAAATTTAATTTGAAAGCAAGGAATATAAAGATCCTGTAAACACATAATTGAGTACAGATATAATTTTAATAATGTTCAAGTTGGGTTATCATAGCAAACTATCTCTTGATGTCTCAATCTTAGTGTGAACCAAGTTTAACTTTTGAAACTACGTTTAGCTTGCTCTAAGCTAGGCTTTAATCGGTTTTTTAAATATTACTTATTTTCTTTCTATCCTAAAAGGTTGTTTAACTTTTTAAGCTATGTCCTCTTGAAAGCAAAGATTTAGGCTTCCATAGATGTCCAACAGTATGAGTGGTATGTCTGGTGAATGTCTGACTGTTGATTTTGTTGTCTAATACTTTCAGAATCTCTTTGGCAGTAACAGTCTTGATGGAGGAAGCAGCCCTATGATCAAGCCCAAAGGGGACAAACAGGTGGAATACCTAGATCTCGACTTGGATTCTGGGAAATCCACACCACCACGTAAGGTGAGTGACATGTGACATGCCTCTTCTGTGTATACAGTTCACACTTCAAACCTGAAGAATTATCTCCTTTGGGATAATTTTATTAAGTTATGTTTAATATAAATTTAGTCTGTTCTGCTACTTGATGCTGTCTCATAAACCACAAATAACATAGTTATGGAGAGTGATTTTTTTTTTTTCCTTTCTGACAGTTAGAAATTCTATACTTTCTACTCTTTTAGTGGTTACTATTGAAATAGTTATTTAACAAATTCTTTTTTTTTTTTTTTTTCTGAGACAGAGTCTTGCTCTGTTGCCTAGGCTGGAATGCAGTAGTGTGATCTTGGCTCACTGCAACCTCCGCTTCGCAGGTCCAAATGATTCTTCTGCCTCAGCCTCCCAAATAGCTGGGATTACAGATGTGCACCACCACTCCTGGCTAATTTTTGTATTTTTAGTAGAGACACGGTTTCACCATGTTGGTCAAGATGGTCTCGAACTCCTGACCTCAAGTGATCCACCCACCTCAGCCCTCCAAAGTGCTGGGATTACAGGCGGAAGCCACTGCGTCCAGCCATAATTTAATGAATTCTAATGTTAACCGGTATAGTGTCTTTACTCTCCTTAAAATGTTCAAATTATGTGCTATTTTTGTCCAAAATTTTAATGTTATCTTTTTTGTTAAACCCACAAATCAGATAGTATTATTACTGCTCTTATTATATAACAATGTTTGTTTACATTTTCCTACATGTTTACCAGCCTATCATTCCTTCCTATTTCTGACTTTCCTTCTGCAATAATTTTCCCTCCACCTGAAAGGAAGGTGAAAGGACACTTCTAGGGAAATATTGATCATGAGGTCAGGAGTTCGAGACCAGCCTGACCAATATGGTGAAACCCTGTCTCTACTAAAAATGCAAAATTAGCTGGGCATGGTGGCACATGCCTGTAATCCCAGCTACTCAGGAGGCTGAGACAGGAGAATTGCTTGAACCCAGGAGGCGGAGGTTGCAGTGAGCTGAGATTGCGCCATTGCACTCCAGCCTGGGCAACAAGATCAAAACTCCTTCTCAAAAAAAAAAAAAAAAAAAATTCACAGTGCATGTGTGTTTGTGTTTTAAGACTGAGTTGTACTCAGAAACACTCCTTTATATGTTGGACTTTTTGTTTTTTCTTTGTATTTTAGCAAAAGAGCAGTGGCTCAGGCAGCAGTGTAGCAGATGAGAGAGTGGATTATGTTGTTGTTGACCAACAGAAGACCTTGGCCCTAAAGAGTACCCGGGAAGCCTGGACAGATGGGAGACAGTCCACAGAATCAGAAACGCCAACAAAGAGTGTGAAATGAAAATATTGCCTTGCCATTTCTGAACAAAAGAAAACTGAATTGTAAAGATAAATCCCTTTTGAAGAATGACTTGACACTTCTACTGTAGGTAGATCCTCAAATGAATAGAGTTGAAGTCAAAGGACCTTTCTGACATAATCAAGCAATTTAGACTTAAGTGGTGCTTTGTGGTATCTGAACAATTCATAACATGTAAATAATGTGGGAAAATAGTATTGTTTAGCTCCCAGAGAAACGTTTGTTCCATAGTTAACACACTCGTAGTATTACTGTATTTATGCACTTTTTCATCTAAAACATTGTTTCAGGTATTCCCAGTGTACCTTACCATAATTCCTTTGGGAGTTCTTGTTTGTTGTCACACTACTTTATATAACAATACTAAGTCAACTAAGCTACTTTTAGATTTGGAAATTGCTGTTTAAACTACAGTCTAACAACATTAAAATGAGAGGTAGATTCACAAGTTAACTTTCTAACTGAAGCTTCAGGTGATAACCATTAGCTTATACTTGGACTCATCATTTGTTGCCTTCCAAAATGCTGAGGATAATGTATATACTGGTGTCAGGACCTAGTTCTCTGGTTAATGTATGTTTAGTTTTTAATGGTGGAACTTTGTTATATTTTGTTAATTACAGTGTTTTTGGTTCATTGAGTGAAGATTCCGCCGGGTGGGATCTTGCACCTTTGAAAGACTGAATAATTACACTACCAAGGAAGCCTGCAAATCATTGATGGCATGCAGTGATGATGTGCTCTTACACTTGTTAACATGTATTAAGTGTTATTTGCAAAAGGTAGATTATGTAACTAATCAGGTACGTACCAGGCAGTGATGTGCTAATACACTGATCAGGTTTAGACAATGAGCTTTGGTTGTGTTCTTGTTAGTCCTAATATTGGTTTTCAGTTTGGAATTAATAAAGCAGTTGACATTCACTGTTAGTTACAGCAACATACTGTGATTTTTAATTAGATAGTAATTCAGATTTATTACTCTATGAAATTCTGTCTTGACACCATAGTGCCCTTTCTATGATTTTTTTACTTAATATTCTTCTTGGCCTTATATTTAAATCCCTATGCAATTAATATTTTATATCTGCATTTTTTAAAAAAAAAATAGATGTTATATAAGTGATTCTTATATGTAGCACCGGTTGCTTTTCCACTAAAAGAATTACAGATTTTGTACTGTGATTTATATTCACTGCCCCAATTCAAGAAATATTGGAGCCTTGCTACAATGTGAAATGTTAGCCATGGACTCCTTCCAACCAGATTTCTGAAACCACCAGAGGGATGGTATAATTCTCTCTCACCTATAACGTGGTCCTGTGACATAGATATTAAGACCACAAGTTATAGTGAGGCTACAATTATATTCATCTGTCTTGGCTTTCCAACATAATTTAGAAAGCACATATAGTTGTTTTTTAACCAAGTTACATACAATCTCATGTACTGATTTGAGACTTACAACAATTTTTGGAGGGGGTATAGAGAAAGGAGTGCCCACAGTTGAGGCATGATTCCCTCCATTCAGACCTCTAACTGTTGCCTGAGTACACAGATGTGCCCTGATTTCTGGCCCATTGGCCATAGTACTGTGCCTAATCACTGTAATAGGTTTATTTTCCCAATCCACAAACTAAAAATGTTCATAACAAGATGAATTATAGACTAGTAACATTTGATGTTAAAACATCAAATGTTATATTTGCTTTAACATTAATTTTTTAAATATTTGTTTTTAAACAAAAACTAAAACCCAGAAGTGAATTTTTAGGTGGATTTTTAAATAAACAAGATTGATTGAGTTTGGTGTGCAAGCTGTTTTATAATGAAACCACAAAATAAAATCTAAAATCACTGAAACGTGCCTAAACTATCAAAACACATGATACAGCTAATGTGTAAAGATACTAAATGCTGTTACTTGGAGGATGAATATATTTAAGACTTAAAACACAATAATAAGTACATGATTCATTCAAAAATAAAAATCTTTGCAGCTGCCTATCAGAAGGGTCTAAAGCACTTATGAATGTTTTTAGTCTAATTTATCATTGACTTTTTACAAGTCACCGTATTTGAAGATCTATAGCACTCTGATTTTCAGAAAATTTTTCATTCTGAATAATTTTTAAATGGTGATGTATTAGAAAGGCAGTTTGCTTTAGAAAACTAAATCGCATTGAACTTGTATTCAAGAATTAAATTAAAAGTTTCTTACAGAGCAGTATTTTCCAAAAGTTTTTAGCACTAGAATCTTCTTTAGATGAAATTTTATGTATAACCCCAATACATAAAGCCTGAAAACTCAATTTTATCAATATAAATGTATTTTAGGTTCACATTATGCTTATTCATTTTGGCTCATTACTAAGCATAATAAGATTCTGAATTAACACAAATGTGGAGTTATACATAGTTGATGAAACCAGCAGCCAATTTATAGCTGTGCCCTATTTTATATGTATACTTAATCAAGAAAATTTTGATTCACACAAATGTAAGCAAAAATAATAGGTTTTAAACATACATCTCAGGAAATTTTTTAATTAGAGATAGCTAAAGTTATTCAAGATCTATACAAAGATAAATTATCCTGGTAGTGCAAGTTAATACATAAGCAGTCTCCAGTATGGTAAAGTAGGGTATGTAACACATCAGAATGTGCATTTTTATTAAGTTTTAAAATATGTAAGTATAAAAACTAAATTTGAATCAAACCCTTTTAACTCACCTCCAAGAAGCTACACTTTGGCCAGGAATGGGCTAAAAACCACTGGTTCACCATGTGACAGTTATGATGTTGGAGATTGGAAATCTTTCTTCCACATTAGAGTTCTTTACCTTAATTCCTTATTTTGAAAAATTGTAAGATTTTATGAAGGTTTGAATACCAAAGCACAGTTCTGCTTTCAAACATTAAAATTCAAACTTGAAAAAGCTGTTTAACCCATGGAAGATATCATTTAGTAAGATGTAAAAGATTTTTTAAATCTACACTTCAGTTTATACATCTTTATCATTATCAATACTATATAAGTTACTGTGAGCATTTTAGAGAATTCCATAAAGGTACTATGAGTGTGTCTGTATGTGTGTGTATATATAGCATTGTATTTAATCACAGACTAAATTTAATTTGATATAGAAATATTACTTTACTTGTACATTAAGGTCATAATTTCTGCTGGACTCTTTTATATTTAATTAATGGGGATTATAGTCTTCCTTCATAAATGCATTTAAACCGGAAATTGAACACCAGTGTTTTTCTTTTTCTACTTATGGGGAATTGTCTGCTTCCCCCTTTAGAGAAAACAGTATTTTTATATTTTGTTAAAATATTAACTACTTTATGCCTACACACTATGCTGTAGATACTGATCATAATTCTTGGGTGTTCACAAACACTCCTAGTGCCTCTTTTTTTAGCCCGTTGAAAGTGTTGGTATTACTACTTTCACTACAGAGCCTTTGGCCCTCTAATAATGCTGAGGTGGGCTGATCCTTCCTGTTTCTGTCTTCGGATCATTCTGGTAGGTCTTCTCCTCCAGTGTCAGGTAGGCAATCAGGTCCATGACAGGGATTGGACATAGGAACAAATTAAGTGGGTACACACAGTGAAAAAGATACATACATTCTGTGGTAACAACTACTGTCAATAACATCTGATGTTACATGCACATTTATATATATATAATTTTAAAAACTGAACTATGAGAAGCCATGGTATAAATGAATATTGTAGACATCATGGACTTGATATGATAGAAGTCAATTGTCAGGTTGAGATAGTTGTTTTTAATCTGTCTAAATAGTTTATGCATTACTACAGTTAAAAATAATTTAATTTGTCTTCTATAGACTTAATTTTATTCCGGTTCAGTGTAATCTCTGTTAACAGAGTTTCAGCAAACTGATTGGTCAAGGTATTAACATAACTTCTACTTCCTTTGCTTAAAAAGATGTGGTTTTATGTAAGTTCTTGATTACTGATGATCATCCCAAATTTTGACAACAAAATCATATGTATAAATTTATTTCTTCCCTCTTGCTCATCATCTTTTGTAAAGGTCCACTGTAGATCTTTTCTGCTACCAAATAAAACTTTTCAAACAATTTGGTTTCAAGACCTTAAATAGACAATTTGGATACTAAGATTGTGAACTGATAAGGACATTTAAATTTGTATTTCCAATCCTTCCTTAGAGCCTTTGTCTGCATCAAAAACCCAATTCTGCCATTAACTGTGCTTCCCAGTCCCACCTCTGTATGTCACTCATTTTCTGCAATAAAGATCTCACTAAATCATGTTAAAACACAAGTCATGATCCTCTCTAACTAAATAGGAAAAGCTCCCCGGAAAAACTCTGTTGCCACATGCACATGCCCTGTTACTCCTCCAGCCAGCCAGTGCTGCCAGCATGTTATTGAGTAAAAGGCCAAATAAATAAGGGCCAGCATGCAACCTTTATCTTCAGAAACTAGGTTTTATATGTAAAATATAACTTGGGAAATGATTCTGTTTATTAACTGGCTGGGATTTTTCATTTCTGTGAGAGTTTCAAATGTCTCCAGTACTTTATAAAATCCCAACAATTGCTGTAAGTCAGCACTTTGGTCCATTCAGCCCACCCAGCCCACTTGCAACTCTGACTGTCACTGTATCATATTTGGGAAGTTTGGGTAGGGTGAGGCTTTCTTCTTCAAGATTATTTTCTCATATGTCTATCACCTTCTAAACCATGAGACTCCTGGGTATTTGCATGTAACTTCTTTGAGGAAGTTAACACCATCTCTGATATAGACACACTTTTTGAGTTGCAGTTTCCATTAGAATTTTTTGGAGACTAACTTGCCAGTTCTGTGAATATTATTGAATGTTTAAAAAGCTGAGTCTGTAGTGGGAGGCATTTTATTAACTATTGTGATTGGGTAACATGTCCCCTTAGATTCCTGATTTAAAATTATACAAAATAACTATTTTTGATAAAATAAAGGAACACCTACAGAAAATTAAGTTTCTAAGATGTTTCTATACTTCATTAGAAAAGATTTTATTACTATTCCTTACGGTTATTGGTGGTGATTAACACTTAACGTGTCTCCTCTGATTTTGTGTTCCATGTGGTGCTTGGAACATTTGGAGTACTTTGTGTGGGGGACATACAGTGGTATAGGAAATTTAAAAATTAAAATCAAATAATACCCAAAAAAGCCCACTTTATCAGATATGGTATTGTGATGGTTAATACTATGTGTCAACTTGGTGAGGCTATGGCACCCATGTGTTTGGTCAAACACTAGCCTAGATGTTGCTGTGAATATATTTTGTAGATGTGATTAACATTTACAATCAGTTGATTTCAGGTAAAGCAGATTCTCATCCATAATGTTGTTGAACCTCATTCAATCAGCTAAAGGCCTTAAGAGCAAAAGCCAAGGTTTCCAAAAGTAGTAATTCAGCCTTAAGATCATAACAAATTAATCCTGCCTGAGTTTCCATCCTGCTGGCCTACCTGCCTTGTAGATTTTGAACTGAAGACTCCATCATCACCTCTTACCTGATCCAGTCTGCTGGCCTACCCTACCAATTTCAGACTTGCCAGTTCCTACAATCCTGGAGCCTTTCTTAAAACTAATTCTGTCTCTCTCTCTCTCTCTCTCTCTCTGTCTCCCCCGTCTGTGTGTCTGTGTGTGTGTGTATATCTTCAAACACACATATAAAACATATAGGTATATAAGAATATATAGATATCTTACAGGTAGTGTATCTTATTGGTTCTGTTTTTCTGGAGAAACATGACTGATAAACATTGAATCATTAATCTGTGTGCCTCTCATACCAAGCAATGGTTTTGAAGTTTAATTTGCAATGTATTAGCAGTCTGCTCCATAAGTTTCTTTTGAAGCCATTTACCAACAGTGAACCATGTTTCC